CGGCTGCCGAGTCCGGCTGGCACCATGCTGCCCGCGCGCTGCGCCCGCCTGCTCACGCCCCACTTGCTGCTGGTGTTGGTGCAGCTGTCCCCAGCTCGCGGCCACCGCACCACTGGTCCCCGGGTAAGTGCGCCCCAGCCACACGACCACCTGTGGAGGAAAACGAGGTTGCCTTGCCCCTTGGGGTGGGAGGAAGAGGAAGAGAGTGTCAAAACCTTATGCGGACCTCCCCCCCCTTCCGGCTACTACCCCGCACCCTGAGTTACTGAAATACAGTTTTCTCCCACTGTCCCTTCCCTCTCCTTTCTTGCAGCACCGACCCTCCCCACCCCCGAACTGTCACTGGTGGGTTTTCTTTCCCAGTCTTTTTCCTTGGCATTTGGCTGTAAGACCCTCCGAGGTGCCTCCTGTGCTGGAGAGAATCTCGCTTTCCAGGCTCCCCTGTGGTCTGACACTGCGCTGGTTCCCCTGCACGCGGGCGTTCTTGGCAGGCGGCGTGGGGGGTGGTGGGGGGAGAGCTCTGCCGGGGAGTTTTAGGTTACTCGCGAGCCACACAAGGACCTTGTGTTGTTGTTTTAAAAAGCGGTCGGTGCTCATAAAACCCACAGCAGATAATTTTAACGCCCCCTCCTGCCGGGTGCGGCTTGGCGGGGGGTGCAGGAGTAGGGGCTGAGGGGAGGTGGTGAGGGATTGTCCTGTTCAAGGGTCTCTTCCCCTGAGTTCGGCGCAGGGAGGTTGAATTACTTGTTGAACCTTGATCTGATTGGAGTTTCTGACAGACATGAAACGTGCCAATTCTGTGCACAGGACAGGCTGCCTAGGGCACCGTAAAGTCTCTCCTGGAACCCGCAGCATTGTGTTCATTTCTGGTCTAGATTATTGCCCCCCACACCCCACCCCTAGTTGGTCTAATAAAGAATTTCACTGCCTTAAAAAATGTACTATTAAACCACCGAGTGGTTCATTTGACCAAACCGAATGCAGGCAGCCTCTGGCCAAGCATCAGTCTGTGTCAGGTGGCCACCTTGCTGGGTTAGCTTCTTGCCTCGACTGGCGACCGAGAGTCCATGTGTGAGCAGCTATGATCTCTGTGCAGACCAGTCTGGCTCCTCTACCGACTGCTGCTTTCTTTTCTGGCTCTCCTTCTGCTTAGACCCATTAGCACCTGTTCAGACAGCAGGTTCTTTATTCAGAGCCTTTGCTATATGCTCTTCGCTGTCCTGGGGGGAGGAAAGGCTTTGCAAAGCTGGACAAGCTTTAATGAGTGCCCAGATGTGGGCTGGTTACATCTGAGCCCAGCTATCACTGTGAGATCAGATTTGCAGCCACTTAGGAAAGAAAAGTGTTTGTCCCCGTGTTGGGCTGGCCTTCGCTTTTATGACCAGATGTGCAGCAGCAGCAGTTAAAGTGCGGCAGATTAGATCCAGGGCGTGTCATAAATCCTCGACAGCAGGCAGTCCCAAAGCTGGGGCAAGTAAGGGCTCTGGGAGTGACTTTTATGGATGCAGATGAGGATGCCTTTTAAATGAAGCTGCTTGGTTTGATATTCAGACTCGAAGCTCTTAAACTGAGGTCAGGGGAGCCATGGCATTCTTGCCAATAATTAGGAACAGTCAACACAGAGACGCAGACCAGTGCCCCCCTGAAATCTGGATGCCCGCCCACAGGAGGGTCGAAAGGAGAGAGGCCCTGAGACAAATGGTGGGGGGCTCGTTTGCTGCTGGGCATGTCTAGCATCTCGAGCCATATGGCTCTCCTTCTCTTCCTGAAACCGGAGGAAGCCGCTTCTAGGGAAAGCAGGAACACTGGTTAGGTTTCCCTCCAGCTTCTCTCCTTTATTAATTCAATAGGAGTGATGGAACATAGGCAGGAACTGTAAAATAGATGTGTGTGTGTCTGCGGCTTACTGCTTCTCTTTCTCTCTCCTTTCTCCCTCCCAGTTTCTTTCTCGTTCTCTCTTCCTCTCTCAAGCACACACGCGCGCGCGTGCACACACACACACACACACACACACGTTCAGAAAGCATGAAGGGGAAGCTGTTGTCTTGGGCATGTGGTTACTTGGTTGCACTTCTAGGCAACAATAAGGGCTACCATTTATGAACATTTGCACTGGCCACCTCCCTTGTTTTCCTATGGATCTAAGTACACGAACATGAAGCTGAGTCTTTTCACTGCATTCTGCAGATGAGAAAGTGAGACTCACAGAAGCTAAATTACTTGCTTGAACCACCCTTGGTGCATCTGTAGGTCTGGGAGCCAAATCTCAGCTTGTGTGGGTTTAAAGGGTGTGTGCTCTCCATACCATCAAGCAGTGGCAAGGACTGTCCATCCAACCAGTGATCCTGTTTCTCTTGAAGGACAAAATGGCTCAATGAGAAAACACTGAACCAGCTGTGTCAGGCAAGTCTCTAGAAAAAGTGTTATTAACAAGATATTGACTTGACAGGAAAGTCATGACGCATTTTTGCATAGAAAAATATATCATGACTTCCCAGACAACCTAATATTTTGCTGTCTGTATTGCTAAAAGGTGGTGTTTGAATTTCAACCTCTCCCCAAAGACTCCATTCTCTTCTATGACTTGTTGGTGGCCCCAGAAGTGTGGCCATGGCTGAGAGCAGCGGCGTCGTAGGAAGAGCAGAAACATCTGGCTTATTGCACTGTTCCCTTTAGGTACCCCTAGGTCTCTTCTGTTAATCTTTTGAGTGACAGAGGCTTAAGGATTGGCATCTTTTCCAGCTGGCTTTCTAGGAAACTGAGAGCATGCCCTTTTGCTTTAACTTTATCTGGCTCACTAATTGAGCTCCCCCGAGGACTAGACCCCAATCCTTGCCCCCTTATTTGCTTCCTGCCTTCCTTCATAAAATTCCTGACATTTGTTTGACTCTGGAAACCAGCAGCTATCAAGTATCAGATTGGAGGCTATTATGTAGGAAGCACCTGATTTTTGGGTCTCTCAGCTCTGAGCAGCAGCTTGACTACCTGGGATGCGGGTCAGGATTCTTTTAATTACTGCGGAGGCAGCCATTTCTTTAATCCTGCACAATTTACTGAATATGTTCAGGGGAGGGCAGGTTGGGGGAGGGGCTCTCCCAGGCTATGGGGTCAGGCCAAGCCGACTGCCAGTCTTTGTTTCATTCTCTGTCTGCCCTTGAAGACAGGGAGCGGGGTGAGAGTAGGAGCTGTGTCCATCTTGTCCATCAGGGAATCCCCTGAGCTCAGCACAGGGCCAGGTACCCGGCAGAGATTGACGTTGTTGGCGTTTGGGGCATGAACAAGTAAGGGCAGATAAAACATGTTTACCAGTGACCCATGGGTTCTGCTTTCTTGGTACCTTAGTATGGTTGGAGGCAGAAAAGAAGTTTGAGGATAGGAAGGGCCAAGAGGTTAGATTCAGAAGAGGATTTCTTAATCATTCTAGATATATTCTTTATTTGTTCTTTCTCCTCTCAATTACTTGATTCACCTTTCAAAACCCAGTTCCAACATCACCATCTTGGAATTTTTGTGCAGAACTCTCCTTTGGTTAGAATCGATTGCTCTCAGGACCAGCAGATGGCGTAATGGTTATGACACTGGACCCCGACATAATCCACCGCAATTTGAATCCCAGACCCAGCATCTTGAAACTCACTCCAGGCTGTGTGCCTGCATAGTCCAGAATCCCAAGAAGATAATGGAAGAGAAGGAATTGCGGCATAGCCATCCCCCTCAGGGAGTGATTTCTTATTTTCTCTCTCTCCGTCGTGCCCTATAGCAAAAATCTCTTTAAAAAAAAAAAAAAAAAGAATTGATCTCTCTCGTCTTTGAACAACTTCTGCAGCGGGTCCACTTGGATTCTAGCTTATACTTCTAGAGTGAGCATCTTAGCATCAGGCCAGCATCTTTATCTTCTTAGCACTAGGCTGCCCCTTAGCACTCAGGCATGATTATTAAATGAATAAACTTGTAAGCCCTTGGGGGCAGAATGGAGACCTTCCTCATCAGCACAGTTGCCACGTGGTAAAGCAGCTCTGTAAATATTTATTTAAATGAATTGGACTGTGTCTCGTTACACCACCTGGACCCCCTGCTTGCATTAAACCTGAAATTGATTTACAAAAAATGACTTTTCCATTTTTAGGCTTCTGTTCTTGTTTTACAATAAGTGTGTGTGGTGTTCACTGGAAGGTTGGGGGAAGAGAGATCGAACAAGCAGACTTGGATGGGGAAATTGGCTTTAGCTCCGCCCCGACCCCTTTTTGTATCGTGCATTTGCCCAAAATGAAGACGCTTCTAATCTGTCCTCTTCTGTCTAGCCTGCCCTGGTATGCGAGCCAGGTGGGTCCTCGTGTCTGCTTAGATGCTCTTCTTCTTATCTGTATGCTGGCAATACTCCCCAACCTTTTTTTCATGGGTGGGAGGGTTTAGCTCATGTAAATACTCAGGTGTCAGGCTAAGACCTGATTTCCACATTTTGGCTAAGCTGACATCAAATTTAAAGAAATATAACTGAGGGACCAGCAGTTGGCATAGTGGCTTTGTCGTTGGATTCCTATGTAGTCAACCGCAGTTTGAGTCCCGGACCTGGTGGCTTAAACTCACACTGGGCACCATATAGCAAAAACCTCTCCACCTCTCCAAACTCACAGCAGCGCCACTTATAAAGTATCTTGCTAAAAGAACTGAGCCTGAACCTAACAAAGCCTTTGGCTCTAACTACCAGGTTATATGAAATACAGGTGCCAGGGGACCAGCAGATGGTGTAATGGTTACGTTGCTGGACTCCCACATAGTCGACTGCAATTCGAGTCCCAGACCCTGAGGCTTAAACTGACGCCCGGCATACGTGCATGTGTACCCAAGATCCCGAGAGAAGAATGGAGGAGAAGGGATTGTGACATGGCCATCTCCCATTGCGGGTGATTTCTCGCTTTCTTTCTCTCTCTGTCTTTCTGACGAGCATGTGCACTCTATAGCAAAAACCTCTCCTCAAAAAAAAAAAAAAAAAAAAAAAGGAAATATAATTGAGTGGAATAGGAAGAAGAAACAATCACTTTAGAATCTCTAGGAAATGAAAACAAAATGGGGAAGACTTTGATATGTTCTCATTAGCTCCTGAAGTGGAATCGTCACATTTC